ACAGTGCACGCGAGGTGGCAGAGCTAAAGCGTTCCTCTGTTCACATTTATTCAAATGTCAGCAGAATAGAAACCGATCGAGGTTTCCATAGAAACCACTCCCAGCTTCAGGTGTTTCTCGGGGCATTTTGTTCCATGAACTGTTGGAGTCAGAAGGTATACCTTATGGCTTTCCTGAAAGCTTTTGTTTTTTTAATTTCATTAAATTTATTGGGGTGATATTGGTTGATAAGGTTATGGAGGTTTCAAGTGCAATGGTATTTTCCCTCTTCCTAAGAAGCAGGTCAGTGGAGAACCACATTCTCCTTTGTTCTCCGGCATTTTTGGCAGCCTCTGTCACACAGCCTTTCCCCTCCAGCTGAGAAACTGGAATGAGCTATTTTGAAAGCCTGACAAATCCTGCCCATTAGCGATGGCTGTTCAGACAGCATTTCTTCTCTTTGGCCAGAAAGGAAATTTGAAAACCTCGGACCTAGAAATTTAGGTAACACAATGTAATATCGGGATTAACGTAGTCCCTATGAAATGTTGCCAAGACAAGAGATTAAGGACAATTGCAATGACTCTGTGGACCCAATCAACAATAACCAAAGGGGTGGGTGTAAGTGAAGTTTTCAGTGTAAACTCCTAGACCAAAAATAATTAAATCTTTTAATCCAGACAGTAACTAATTAATTGGCTGGAGGTATAAGATCCCTTGCCATAACATAGGGAGACAAATTAAAAAGGAAAAAATCCTCTTCAATTCAGAGGTAATACAATGACTCAAGTATATTGCCCGGTGTCCTGCTTTCCCGTAAGTTACATTAGAAAATGGAAAGTGAATAGTGGACTACAGGGCTATCTCCGGCTACAACTGGTGTGATTAATAAAGAAAAGCCAACACAAAATAGGATAATAATAGAAAACAACCACAGCTCTGCCTTGGAGTAACCAAAGGCTGGCTGACCTGGTTGGCAAAAGCATGCATGGGCCCTGAAGTTTGACAGCTCACTTTACATCTTGACATGGACACTTGCTGCCTAGGATTTTGAATAAACTCCTAAATCGCTATGCAAGTCAGTTTCCTCATTTGGAAAGGGAGGGTAATTCCTACTTTGCCGGGGTTTGTGAGGATTAGAGGTAATGGACTAGATCCTTCTTGTCAATGCATTTATTACTTTGAAACCCTGCAGTCAGGAAGTGGCATGGGATGAACAATTCCTCACATCACAGAAACAAACATTAAAGAACTAATCTCCTAAAATTAAAATCCTTTCAAACATTTCCCCCACCCCAACACCAGCATCTTTCTCGGTTTGTTTCAAATTACTTCACAAAAAATACAAATTATTTGACAATCTTTAGCTGATTATTTGAAGTTTATAATATCTCGTGCAATTATAATGCTCATTGATAATGAATTAAAAATGCATGTCTTAAGAAGGCACAGAATTTCATGAAACACATAGAAATGATAACGGAGAACTGGAGAGAGAAATAGCATAGATTGGTGCTAGGCTCTACTTACTCAAACACTGGATGCACAGGTTGCTAAATGTATAAACTTGCATGAATATCTTAACTTTTCCCTGTCTCAGTTTCCCCATTTATACAATGAAAATGATAATACTATTTACTGCAGTGACTTATTTATAAGAACTAAATAAAGGTAATAATTATAAAGTGCTTAATACAGTGCTTGATAAATCATAATAAATACATTAGTATTTATTAAGTAAAAATTTTTACAAACAATGAAACAACTGCATAGCAAACCCATTTAAAACACAGTAGGATGATTCAAAATCCAGAAGACTCATGACAAGGTAGAAACAAAAACAAATAATGATTTTAATATCATAGAGGTTGAGAAGCATTTGCAAAAGCTGATGAAGGGCCAGATTATTTTCATACAAAAAAAAGTGACCGTGTTTTTTACTGGGCAGCTCAAGTCAAAGATGAGTCTGTGGTGGCTGGCTTCCCAGATGGCAGGCAAGAAACCTCACTTCCTGTTATTCACACTCTGGGTAATCCCCACCTCTCACGTAGTCCCAGGGTCTTGCAACCAAGAGCATAAGGGATGATAGGTCACTTGCAAGACCAGGCTGTAGAGGACACAGCTGTTTCCTTCTTAGTTACCCCCTTGCCCATTTTCTCAGTCCTTCTAATCTCTCACTCTGGGGCAAGATGGTTGTCTTTCCACAGCAGGTCTCTGGGGAATCCATGTGGTAAGGATCTGAGGCCGTTGTCCAAAAGTCAGAAAAGAACCAAGGACTCCGGCCAGCAGCCATGTGAGCTTGAAAGCAAACCCTCTAACCCTGTGATGCCTTCAGGTGACTACAGCTGTTTTAACAGCTTGTCTGCAACCTCATGACAGAGCCTGAGCCAGAACCATCCAGCTAGGTTGTTCCCAGCCTGCTCCACCACAACTGTGTAAGATGATAAATGTCAGTATTTTGAAGCTACTAAGTTTGGGGGTTATTTGCTATGTAGAAACAGATGATTAATACAGGAGTGTGGTATTTTGCAAATTTGATGAAAAAATTACACCTCCCATGTAGATGTAACTTACAGTGTTTATTCTGAAAATTAGCAAATACTTGTGGCCTGTACTTTCAAGATAAAAACCTTTCAAACCTTGAAAATGATTTAATAAATAATTTTGATCCACCTTTAACCTCCAAAAACCTATATAATCTGTGTGCTTCCTACTTATCTCATCTTCTACTCTCTCCTTCTTTCCACTTCTTCCACACTGATTTCTTTTATATTTCTGGAACATGGCAGGCATACTCTCACCTCCAGGCCTTTGTATTAACTATCCCTTCTCAGTTTTTCTTCCCCAAATATCAGGATATCTCCCTCTCACTTCCTTTAAGCCTTTGCTCAAATGTCAACCCCAGTCCTGCACACTCCTGATCCTCCCTGTACCACTTTATTGCCCCATAACATTTTTCCTAACTTTTCTGTGCATCCTTTCTCACTGCATGTCAGTTCCACGAGGATGTAAATTTCATCTCTTTAGTTAGAATGCACTGATGGATCCTCATTACATATAACAATACCTGGCACTTAATAAGTGCTCAATAAATATTTGCTGACTGGAGCTTAGGAAACAAATCTATTGTAATTTTTGTGTTTTTTTTCACACAGCCACTTATGCTAGGGTAGGGACAACTGCCTATGATTAAATTTTCTGACTCAGTAAGCTGTTGACAAACAGTAGTTGTGATCTGAATGCAAACCTCTGTTTAAAAAAAATAAGTATTAGCTTGAGTGATTTACAAATAAGGGCTAGGTGCAGAAGTACGACGGAGGTTGACATCAATATTGATCATTGGATGTACTGTCTAAATGAAATCTTTGTCACCATATATTCCAAGAGTAATATATCTCATCAAACATGCATGTAAGAAAGCTTCCAAGTCTTTACTCTTAGTTCCCAGAACAGATGTAATTTATTTTTATTACCAATTTTACATCAGAGAATAGCATGACTCACTGTACCTAGCTAAAAACTAAAGACATAAATCAGATGGTGGTCCTAAAAAGTTTATGAGGGTTATGACATCAATTTTGGAGACTTCCGGAAGCACTGTATGGTAAAGGTTATTACAGAAAGGCCTGGTAGAGCTGCCTTTGTGGGTACATACCTGTGAGGTCATATAGGACCCTGTGCTTCTTGATTTAATGCCCTATTGTTCCTGTCTCAAAATTGTTAATATTACATGAAGAAGGGGCCCCAATTTTACACTTGGTATGCAAACTATGTAGCTGATCCTGAGGCCCAGGAGTATTGAGTACCGACGACGCTCTTTTCCAGGAAATAAGCAGAGATGGAATGACCAGAAAGGCACATGGAATTTTCTCTGGGATAGGTAGTTACGCCAGCCATCTTCCCAGCCCCCCCGCACCCGGTGGGAGGAAAATCTCCCCATTTGAGAGGAAAGCTGGAGAAATAGTAACAGTGGTGCACTGATTGTCACTCCACCTGCGGCCTGTGTTGTGTTACCAGAAACAGCAACAACCCCAGAGATTGTTAGAAAAGCAGAAGTACTGGATCAGAATTTGCATTTCCTGTGCCCTTATTTTTATATTTCCTTTTTTAAAATTTTTATATTTTATAGTTGACACTCAATAGCATTTTATAATAGTTTTCTGTGTCCTGTGCACTTTAAATTTGAGAAACAGCTGAGTGGTTACAGGAGTCATGCTGAACCTTTGATAGTGGACCTTGGAAGTCCCCCAGTCTCTCCAAAGGGGATTTTCTCCCCTTCCACAGGAAAATCCTTAATTCAGATGCTGCCATATTAGGATGTTAACTTACTTAAACATTACTGTTGTCCCTTCTAAGGCCCATTCTCTAGGATTGGAGTACTATGAAATGAAAATGTTTGAAGAAAAAAAAAAGCAAGCATGAAAATGAGATACTATGAGCTAAGCTGAGTAGCTGGAAAGCAGTGTAACAGTAAAATGGGGGGGTGGGTAACTTAAAAATTAAACAACTAGCCAATACTGAACACTTAAAATGTGCCAGGCATCATACAAAGTGTTTTATGGGGATTACTCTATTTAAATTTTACCACACGTTTAAGAAATAGGTGCCACCTCTATCTTCCTGTGCAACTAGAGAAACAGACTTCGAGTTTCCAAATGGCCCTAGCATATAATACATCGAGAAATTGTGCACCATTTCCACCACTGCAAGTTTTTCTAACGTACTGCTAAACAAATACCTGCTGAATTAATGTCTTCGTGTAAATTCGCAAACATCATTTCAGAGTTAGTTTCTGAACGTGAGGGACCATCGCAGAAGCAACAACAGGATTAAGGTCAAGTGAAATTCAACTACCGCCTGAATCTCCCCATTTGAGATAAAAGGAAGACAAATGAGGACTTAATTCTGGAAGTGCAGACCACTCCATGGTTTGTGTGTTCATGTTCCTGCATAAACAGAACTTTTCTCTAATCGATAGGAGATGAAACCGGAAAGCACGTGGTCATGTGCCTTGTGTTTCTTCCCCCAAAACAGCAGCCAGAATCTCAACAGTTTGCACCTACGTGGATTCCCAGGCCCAGAGCAATAGGGACTTAGGCAGTGACAGTCTATAGGACCACACACCCGGCTCCGCCGCTTTCGCCCCCCCAAGCCCCGGGAGTAGGAGGAGCAGAAGAACCGAAAGGAAACCCGTGCAGTGGCCTCCGCAGGCTCCAGCGCCGACATGGAGCTGCGGGCGCTCGGGAGACTCTGGCTCCTTTGCTGCTGCTGGTGCTGCAGCGCGGGCCCCGGACCCTGTTCCGGGGTCACCTTCACCGCGACTGGACCCAGGAGCCGCGAGCGACAGGAAGCAGCCTTCCGGGTACCCAGCGCGCGCCTCCCTGTTTGTTTCCCTCTCGCCCTGCGCGCCCTGCGCGCCCTGTGCGCCCTCTGCTGTCCGAAGTCCCGGCTGGGGAAGAGGGGCCACCGAGCCCTGCAACTCCCGGGGGTCCCCAGGCCCTCACACCCGAACTTCTCCCTGCCTCCCCCACGTGGCTGAGTCTCGCCGTCTCCTGTGCCTTTGCCAACTCAGATACTTGATTTTCCATGAAAGTTTTGCCGCGGTGGATTTATTGTATGACGCGCCCCAAGTAATCAACAGATAAGTCCGAACTGTTCTTGATTAGAAGCTCCTACTTTTAGCAGAACCCGTTTGGCAGGGATCAAAAATAAGCAGAAGAAACCTGCATTGTTTTTCTTCCAAAGGAGGGCGCTGGTCAACTGCTTCTGGAGTCAGAATTTTGTGAAAGAGCCCGCATTGATTGAGCAAACTGGACGGATCTTGTCAGTTTATGATTTTCGTGTACCGGGCTCCTTAAGACTCGTGCGCCGCCTTAAAAGTCACCAAGTCAGAGCCTTGGTGGAGACTGATTTAGAGAAAGGGGACATTCCATTTCTTTTTCAACTAATTTTGAAATGTCTTCGTAATTACGGTTAGATTTTACCCCAGCATTAAAACTCGTACAGACCGGTCGGCTAAGTATAAATTAGGCTGGTTAGAGAGCTTTAGAACGAACTATTAATGTCAAAACAAGTTTTCTCTGGTTTTATAATCGTAAGATAAATTTAAGTTTTTTGGTCCTGGATCCCCTTCCAGACAAGAATCTAGAATGTCTTACTGTAACTCATTCAATTAAACACATTGTTACAACAAACGAAAACAAAAAAAATATGAAAATAATTATTTTTCACCAAATCTGTTTAAAGGCTTATTTGCAATTTTTTCACTATATTAAAAAACATATATCTAGTGCTCTCAATGGGCTTAGTGAAGACGAATTACAAATCCATTAAACATACCTTCCCCAGCCTCAAAAATACGCGTGAAAGCAGATAGTAGTTCTAATACAAAACATTTACAAATATGATCACATTTTCTTATACAAATCTTTCATTTTTTTGGTTTTGTTTTGTTTTGAGCTTTCAGATTATGTCAGAGGTCGCTTTAAATTCGCACCTCTCTTTATTTTTTTATTTAATTATTTTTGAAGTACAGTTTTTTTGTCTATTTCTCCCATCCCAGCCCGCCCCAAGCTCCCCACCTCCCTCCCATTTCCACCCCCCCTTAGTTATTGTCCCTGTGTCCTTTATACTTGTTCCTCTAAATCCCTCCCCGCAAATCTTTCATTGTTATCTGCTGGAAATAAATCAAGCTTTGACCTTCATACCTGAAGAATATCTCCAAGTTAGTTACACACAAATTGCTTTGGAAAGTTAATATAGGTGATATAAATTACCTTTTTCTTTTTCTTTTAGGAAAGTCTTAATAGACATCAGTATTTGAATTCTATATTTCCTAGTGAAAACTCCTCTGCCATCTATGGAATAAATCAATTTTCATATTTATTTCCTGAAGAGTTTAAAGGTATGATGCAATGAAGCTATTAGTTGATTGGTTCCTTGATTTTAACTTGTTTCCTTAACTTTTAAAGAATTGTTGAATTGTGAACCTAGAAACTTGAGTAATAGTTAACAATTTATTAAATACTAAGTATTGAGCATGTACTAGATGCTGACAGAAAAAATAAATGCATGGCCACTCTTCTAATTACTGCATAAAAAATATTGTAGATATAAGACATTTTCATGTGGCTGTAAGGGACAGCGAACGCCTCATTCCTTCTATGTGCTGTTTCTATTCAAGTTACCAATGGCTCCATGGGTTCTGATAAAAACAAATGATACTAATTATACCCATTTTTATTATTGTCCTGGTTCTTTCAAACAAGTCATTTTATATGGCAGTCCCATCTCTATTATAAGAATTCTTATCTTTTATAGATTTCATGTGATTGCATTTCATATTATGGAAAAGCACCTAGAAAAATGACAAAGGACAGGCTCTACTTGAAAGCTACGGTTTCTGTTTGAAAAGTTTCTCGAAAAAGAACCTTCAGAGGTCCTTCCTGTAATCTCATATTGTTGTCTTTTCATTTCATTTTTCTACTCAGCTATTTACTTAAGAAGCAAACCTTTCACATCCCCCAAATACGCAGCAGAAGTGCCAGAGCCAGTCTCCAACATGTCTTTGCCTTTAAGATTTGACTGGAGGGACAAGCATGTTGTAACACTAGTGAGAAACCAGCAGGAGGTAAGTTTTAGTTTTGGGGTTTTTTAAAAATCATCTTAGTATGGGAAGTCACCTCTGAGGTCAAGTTCAATCAAATTTGTAGGGGAAGCTATCATTTTCCTAGATAAAAATCACACCCCAATCGTACAGTAAGACTGGACTCTGGTGGAATGGGAGGCCAACATCAAAGCTTGACTTTCATTCTGAGATAAACCATCTTTGATGTGTTCCCTCACTAATTACCATTGCTACCAGCACACTGGCTCAGAGGTGCTTCCCAGCAGCTGTGTGACAGTTACCAAAGATTCTTTAGAATAGCAGATGGGAGGCTGGAGGAAATAAATTTGACTACTAAAAGGGAAACAGCACTGAAAAAGTAACATGATACCAGGTACACTTAGCAACAGTGCAACCTGGTCTCTTGGGTTCTCAGGCCTCACCCCTTGAGCTCCAACAGAAAACCCTACCCTCTAAAGGATCGTACACTTTCTATCTATGACCCTTAGAAGCGTGGTCATTTTTGCTATAATGGGACATATCCTTACGTTCCTAAAAATCACCACCTGTGCAAAACCTTGCAGAAAAAAATGAAAGGGATTATGGGGAAAATGAGATTAGAGTACATTTTAAAATGTGTCGCACTTAGGGACACACTTAATAAAAAGATAGGGGGTAGACAAATGTCATATGATCTCACCTTTAACAGAAACCCAAACAACAAAACAAGCAAACAAAATATAACCAAGGACACTGAAATAGAGAACAGGCGGACAGTGACCAGAAGAGAGGGAATTTCAGGGGGAAAGGGGAAGGGTTTACAGGAACAAGTATAAAGGACACATGGACAAAAACTAAGCGGGGAAGAAATGGGAGGGAGGTGGGGAGGGGTGGGTGGGTGGGCTGGGCTTGGAGTAAAAGACAGAGAACTATACTTGAACAATAATTAAAATACATTTTTTAAAAAAGGTAGGGGCTAATAAAAGTTGCAGCACAGGAAATGTCAGCTGACCAGTCAATCCCCTAACCATGTGGCTGTGGTCTCGATTTATCTTCAGTGGATACCGCAACAGGCCATTCAGCCTCCCCTTTTTAAATTTTTTTCAATTATAGTTGACATACAATATTATATTACTTTTTGGTGCACAACATAGTGAGATTAGACATTTATATAATTTATGAAATGATCATCCTGATAAATCCAGCGCCTGTTTGACAGTGTGGCAAATATTCTGGACCCTGCAGCTTCTTAGTCACTACTGATGAAGGGTGATCCTTTTTATTTTCCAGGTTCTATATTTATTGCTGTGAATTATATTTTACCACCAAATTATGTGCTTTGTTATTGGATTCATCATCCAGTGTGAAATAGTCTGAAATCTAACCCTCCCAGGAATGTCTACATCGTGTTAAGGGGAACATTTAATTAGGAATCTTTAACTAAAGGATTCACTGGGGAGATGCCTTTGAGCAGGCACTGCTATCCTAGGGAAGCTCAAGGGAGCTTAACTAAAGCTGTCTGTAGATATGGTCTCAGCCGCCTGTATTCACCTTTCTCAAGGTGTGAAGATTCTGCAGCCTAGCCCCTTAGTAAATATTTCACTATGCTGGAGGCACTGGATATCTAGACATAAAAGGCCACTTTAATCCATAAAGTTGTCCAAAACTCTACTCCATGAAGACAAGTTGCGCTTTCTTTCTTTGCCCAATTCTGCAACACATGGATCTGTGATGAGGTCAGTTCTCCCGGTTCCGAATCCCATTCTCACCTCTGCCTTTTCTGCAGTTCTGTCTTTCTCGTGCACGGCCCTTGATTCCATTTGCTCCATCTCCTCCCTTTCTTTCAGGACCTGTCCTTCTACTCTTTTGTTCTAGTCTGTCCAACAAAAGCAAGCTAATGGATTTAGAATCAGGAAGATTGCCAGCCAACATTTGAGTGAAGAATGTTGAATATGGGTTCCTATCATTAGAACATTTCGTGTGCATTCATAATAGGCACGTGCCGGCATCTGAGAGCTTAAAACAACTCATTCACCTCCTATGTCCATCAAATAATGGACACGACATGTGCAATACACATCCTCACCCCACCTCACCTTCTTACCTCCCTTGTGAGGAGTTGGTGGATGACTTGGAAGCATAGAGTCCAGGAAAACCAGGGATTGGAGAATGGGGTGGAATTGGTGAATGTCTCAGAAGCAGACATCACCTGTTTAATAAATTGACTGTTTTTAAAAGTACCATCAGTCTGTTTTCTTGGTCCCTAAAATTTGCTTTTTACTTTGCATTATCTACTTTGCAATAGTGATATGCCAATTTACCTTCAACTAATTATTAGATTTTGATACTTAAAATAATTTTGGTTTCCTTTTTTCAATTCAGAAACCAAAAGGATGGGCATTTATATTCTTGTAGGCCTCCAGACTCAACTCACTTGATTTGATAACTTGTGATATTGAAAAATGTTGGCAAACCTGGTATGAACAGTGTTTGATAAAAAATACTATTTTGTTTCTATTTTAAAACAGTGTGGAGGGTGCTGGGCCTTCAGCGTGGTAGGTGCAGTGGAATCGGCGTATGCAATAAAAGGGAAGCCTTTGGAAGACCTAAGTGTGCAGCAGGTCATTGATTGTTCATACAATAATTACGGCTGCAATGGAGGGTCTACTCTCAATGCTTTGAACTGGCTGAATAAGGTGACTAGTTTCTCAGCCTTTTAAACTCTTTGCTGCCTCTTTTGCTTATTTAATGTGTGCTCATTATTCAGTTTACTCTTGTTTACTAATCATGTTTTTAAGTTTTGAAATTTAGATGACCAAAGCTTGTATTAATCAGATTTTAAAATGAATTGCTTCTAGGTAAGTCAGCCATCAAAATCAAAAGGTAGAAAAATTTACCTGAGATCTATTTACCCCAAATTATTTGTTTATTTCTGAACATTTTAAAAGGTAAATGCTTTTATTTTTTAGATGCATGTCAAATAGTGAGCCAGAAAGAAGAGAACATATGATTAACCATTTCTATAGAATTTCTGAAATTAAGCTTAGGGACATTATAGGTCAGCTAATTTAATTACTCTTTATACAGGTGAAAATGTGAGATTACACTGCAAAATCAGTATCTGAGCCAGAATTGCACTTTAAATCCTCTGCTACCTGTTGAACATCTTTACCACTATATCCCAGGGTCCCTTAGTGTCCTTAGGATACTTTCTGACCTTGTCCTCGATCCAACATGCACTGTGTGAAAGCAGCCAGTGAGGGTGCTATTACATTTTCTAAAACCAAGTTCCCTTTGGGGAACTCAAGTTCTCCAAACTCAAATATCCTTAATCAAGTGCTATATTTGAGTCACTGAAAGCCAAAAACTGTTCTGTGTTATGGGCAACAATGAATTGTTTCCTCTCCATTTCATAAGCCCAACATTCAGAAAAGGAGGTGTGTGTACATATACCTATAAAATAAGTGACCTATGACAGATGAAAGGCACAGAGGGAAGAGGATAGAACAAACACTTGACCTGACTATCGCCTGTGCATAACCACTGCGCCTAGTGAGTCTCAGAGACTTGCTCATATAGAACCGGAAGCCCCAGAGGAAAGTGAAGCAAGAAGACACTGAAGCAAGAAGACAAGACTTTATTTTTAGATTGACAGAGGTTCCAAAGAAGGAGGATACAGAAAAAGCAAAAATAGGAGAGAAAGAAAGATAATGACTCTAGTTTCTAGGATGTCCATAACAAACACTTAAAGATTGAATTTAAGATCTTTAATTCCTCAAAGAATACCCACATGATGAAGGTGTGGCCAAGTTGAATTTTATTTTGACACATTGCAGAAAGTTCTGTTTGACTTTTAAAACAACTGCATGACAGAAAACACTTTGGGTGATTATTTTCTTTTTAGTTTTTGTTTGAATTTTTTTAATTAATGTTTGAATACAGTTGTCTGGGCAATTGTTTTCTTTTTAGACACAGGTAAAACTGGTGAGAGATTCAGAATACCCATTTAAAGCACAGAGTGGCCTCTGCCATTACTTTTCCAATTCACATTCTGGATTTTCAATCAAAGGTTTTTCTGCACATGACTTCAGGTAAATGTCTTATGCTGCTGTGATTTTCTTCCTACTCCTTAATTTATGATCTATTGACTATTCAGAGTCGATAACTTGGTTGAAGCTTCATGCATATTTGTAATTGTTTTCAAACCTCTTTTCTACTAGAGAGACTAATTGTCAATCACCATGGAGTGCTAGGGATGTTCTTCCTTAAACAGGATCTACGTGGGTGCTAATGTGCCATTATAATAAAAATATAAAGCTCAAATCAACACATTAAATCCAGTTAAAGGTATCATTTATATTTACCACCTTCCTTTTACCAATTCTAGGTGACATAATTATCATTAGTGTATTTTAATCCTTTTGTGGAATCAGTGAAAAATGGCCTTGTATAGATGCTCCAGCTAAAATCAAGCAGTCTACTTACCAGGAATCATTTCTTGAACACCCTCTATACCCCTTGCATTTCCAGCCATCAACTCTAAGAAAAGCATAGACTGGAACTTCCACGTTAGAAACAAGGAGGAATGTGTTACTGGAGATAGATTCTGTAGCACACCCTATGCTGGCACAAGGGGAGTGAGACATAGATAAGAAAAAGCTGAGGAAGACGATTTGTGTCAGAGCTTAAAGGGCAAGTTGACTCTGGACAGGTTCAGGGGAAAACAACCACTTAAAAATGCTTTCAAATTATATGAAAATCTCAAAGCTGGTAAGAGACCATTGTGACCATTCAATGTAGTCCAAAATAGATGATCGGAAATGATAAGAACAAAGAAAGACTCAACCCCAACCTGGCTTTACTGTTTTGTTTGTTTTTAAATATGAAGGGAGCTTTGTGCAGTCTTTTGAAACAGAGAACACAGAGAAATTAAATTAAATTTGGATGAGGTGACTGCCCTCTAAGTTACTGGTACTAAATATGAACAGAAACTCCGCATCCAGATGGTGTCTACCCATGGGATGCGAAGGGAATCGAGGGTGAAGTTGGACCCTTGAACAAAATGGAACCCCTGTAAATAAGCGTAAGTATGCCAGAGGACTGGCAGATTGTCAACACAGCTCCTGTCCCCAACGAGGGCACTCAGGGTGACTGTAAGAACCATGCACCAAAAAGCTTCCATTCCACAGATGGCAGGCTACACTGGATCTGTAATAACATGGGCAGGTCACTGAGTACAGTGATCAGCATCTCCTTTGATAAAGGCAACACACTTTCTGAAATGAGCAAGTGTGTCTCTGTGAGCTCTCAGTTCCTTGACAGTGTAAGTGAAGTGTGTGTACAAGAAGGCACAGTTTTCAAAAAGACACTAGAAAAAGATTCAGGGAATCCCTTGTCATGGGTGGTAACTGAGAAAGTTAGAAAGAAACAAAAGACTAAGAGGCATTAGTCTGAGTTGGAGAGTGAGAGTGAGAATTTGCAAAGGTCACTGGAATTGGGCCCGAAACAGGGTTTATCCACCCTTTTGATTAAACAGAAAGAGGTCCCTGAAAAATCTCTGTGTTTACACTGGACTTTAAACTCTCTGATAATACAGTGCTAAGCTAACTGTGATAGATTGTGCAAGAAGACCTTCCTTTGATTTATTCATTTATTCATTCAAATACTCACTGAACACTGTTTTAGGTTATAGGGATTCGGCAGTGAACCAACAGACAAAAACCCTTCCTTGGGACTATATTTTAGTGATAGAGTCAGGCAACAAACAAAACAAGTGAAAATATGTGTGGCATGCTAGATGTAATAATTTCTAAAGAGGACAGAACAGTGGATTATCATAGTTACAAAATGATTTTTAAATTGAGTACAATAAAATATATAGTGTACACTAAAGCCTATGCTGAGAAAAATTAGTTTATTAGATAAGTTAGAAATGAGGAGGAGGAAATAATGGTTTTTTTTATTAACTTAGAGGAAAATGTGTTAGGCATGCTACAAAGTTTACACCTCTAATTTTATCCTTATATTGATTCTACAAGGTAGGTGGGATGACTCCAGAGTGTAGCTGGAATTGAACCCCAGTATGTAGAACTTCAAAGCCTATACCCCACCATGATGCCTTTTAAGAAATTATATAATTTTGCCTATTTCAGGGTAATGTTAATGAATACTAATTACTATTACTGTAGCAAAAATTAGAAATGGCTGGTCATAGATTCCCCAAAAACAGATAACTTTAAGTTAAAAGGTAATGAATAAATGGGTAGAATGAATTGTGTAGTTTCTATTTCAGTCATTTCTGCTGTTAATCATTCATTTTTTCCTCTCACCTGTGAAGAAAATATTCTCTTGATAGGAGTTGATGTCTAGTTGGTCATGATGAAGGATTATATACTCTTTTAAGCCACTAATCCACCCATGTCTTGCTGCAGCAATAATCTACCAAATACTATCTTCATGGCTGGAAATACCAGTAACTTGGTTATAGCACCCTCCCCCTCCAAAGCTGACCTTTAAAAATGTGAATAATGGTTTACTCACATACTTCCAAGATCAGTGAAGGCTGAATGATGTGAACATAAGATTTGTCATTAGATGTCCATGTGTGGAGTATGGAAGCCATAACTGTGTCTTTGCAGTCTTCACAATCTAGTGCTAGTTCTCTGGTGTCTTAACATTTCTTCTATCACATAATATATTTGCCACTTTGGGATAATCTTTTGCTATAATTTCTGTATTTGAAATTCACTAACATAAGTTGATCAGTCTCTTGATTTTTACGTTGTGTGGTAGAGATATTTCCATGCATCTCCTCTTTCCACTTTGCTTATTAAAAGAATCTTTATATTATAGCTGGATACTTGGCTAGCCAGCTAGTTGCAAAACTTCATTCACCATCTTCCTTGAAGCCAGACTTAGTCATAAGACTGAGTTCTAGCCAAGGAGATTCGTGCAGCTTTATGGAGAATGTGTGTGTTACTTCTGGGAAGTCTCACGGGGATATAGCACCTCTTCTTTCTACTTCCTGCTCTGTGAAATATGTGTTCAATGTCTGGAGCCCCTGTGGCCATCTCAGACCATTAATCGACCTTGGGAATGGACACCCTACATGGCAGAATAATAACATAAAAGGAGCCTGGCTTCCTGATATCCTGTAGCCCCACTGCAGCCCTAGATGGCCCATATCACAGACTTCTTGAGCCTCCGTTGTTTAAGTCTTCTGTAATTGCAACCAAACTTACTCATATTCATACAAAGATTAAAGAGATCATTTTTATAAAATATTCTTACCATAAAAACTAAACTCCTTAAACATATATTTTCTCTTTTTGGTAGTGACCAAGAAGACAAAATGGCAAAAGCACTTCTTACCTTTGGTCCTTTGGTAGGGATCGTAGATGCCGTGAGCTGGCAAGATTATCTGGGAGGGATCATTCAGCACCATTGCTCTAGTGGTGAAGCCAATCATGCAGTGATCATAACTGGGTTTGACAAAACAGGTGAGTGCTGGCAAGACTTGACTGATTGCTTTCTAGCTTAGGGTGATCGACAAATGATTGCCATCCTTTAAAAGGTTAAAAATTGGTCTTCTTCTGTCTAAGTCCTCCTAGGACCTTTACAACTTTTCAAAAGACTTCTGGGGACAAATGACCCCAAGGTGTTTCTGCCTATCAGTTTTAGTAGATAATTTGTTTGAATGTTGATAATTATTGATTTAAATAATGTGCATTTTCGCTCTGGAGTGTTTAGGATAATTGTTGGGAAAGCAGAATATTTTATCACATATATCTAACACTTATTTTTATTTTCCTTCTTCTAATTCCCTGGGAATATGTGTGTGTTTTTATTTTCTGCAGGCCCTGCATTAAGTGAAGTGAATTCAAACATATTTTTCCATTAATTGGAGTGTTGACATAAGTACAGCTCAGGTTTACTTAGCTAGCTTAAGTTAGCATTCCGTTACAGTTTTAATCATTTTCTCAAAGTTACTATACTGATCAAGAACTAACATTTACATTAACATGCATTAACACCAATACGAGTTTTCCAGGTATGTTAGCATGTTTTGTTTTGCAGGAAGTACTCCATATTGGATTGTGAGGAACTCATGGGGAAGTTCATGGGGAGTGGACGGCTATGCCCATGTCAAAATGGGAGGGAATATTTGTGGTGAGTCATTAACTGATGTTGAAAACTTCAAGCTAAATGTCAAAAAAGATACTCTGAATATATTAAAATTACAAGACTGTGCAGTCCATAGTATGCTTCCAATATACCTAAGTCACTTTTATAATGTAGTAATAATTTTTCACTTTAGCGAATTGATAAAAATTGTTCTCTTATTTATTTTATCACCTCAGTTAATAAATCATTTTGGGTTATATTGTAGTTTCTTGAAACAAAAATATCGGTCATATCCTCTGAGATCTGCTTTGTGGGTTGTCATTTTATATTGAGACCTATAATAGTTCAATTATTTCCTTAGTAGATGCTAACTTTTTCTGAACCCAAATGAAAATTGTTTGGTTTGGTTTGGTTTGGTTTATGTATAAGGCATGTAAAGAGGAAATAAACTCATTTTAATAATTTCTTCTTTTTTCTCTTAGGTATTGCAGATTCTGTTTCTGCTGTATTTGTATGATATATTGATTAGATCAAGAAAGAACCACAAAAATTAAGGTTCATAATGAAATGTAGCTGGTACTTCATTTCTAGCATTATTTACCTTTAGGTTTTAGCAACTACCCACAAAAGTTTCTAGGGCCTAGTAGCATTTAAACTAAGTTCTAGAATGTTCCCTTCTCGTATGGGGACATGGGTAATCATAGTCATTTGGAAGAACACCAGCAATGTGGCCTGAGAAACAGTTTTCTACTCTAGACTGACTCTCGCATTAGGGGATATCTTAGGTCTCTTTATTTTGAAGAGGCTATTATCTGGTTTTGTTTGATTGATGTTTTATTTGTTTATTCTTAATGTCATACTTAATGTCAGGTAAGATTAAAGAGGTGATAAAAATGTCTTTTCTTTTGTGGAATATAACCACGGCCTTAGGTTACCCCTATATACAAGAATGGCCAACCTAAAATTATGTGCACCTCTCACAGTTATACTCTCAGCCACCTGAGATTAAATTTTATAAGGATTTTGAAATACCAATAGCTTTACCTCAACAATTAGTGTTTATCCCTTGAACTGAAGAGAGATCATGTAGTAAGAAACAAAAGGACAAAAGTCACTTTTTTACAAGTGATTTTTGACAATACATTAAATGGCAATAAATTATATGGCAACTATGTGATAAGAAAAACTCAAGTAGCATTGCCTGAGAGACAAATTAATTACTCGGAAATTTTCATTGTCAAGAGGATTGCACTAGACTTCATTTCTTACTTTGATCTCTCTATATCGAAGGACAGTATGTATTTCCATATTTCCCCACTCTTTCTCATACTCTTTACTATGATACTCCTAAGTTTTCTGGGTTGTTTGACCTCCCTGGCTAAGAAGTCCCATTGTTTATTTTTCATTTCTATTCTACAACTATAGATTTTGTTCTGTCTAAGCCACAAAGATCAAGTTCTCAACTTTCTCTTTTTTCCATTATTTGTAGGTAATATGCCTTTCAAAGTCTAATGTCATTAATCTGGGGTATCAGCCAGAATGCGAGTTTCTCAGGCTCTCCATTTTCCCAGTTTCCTACATATGTTTCCCAGACTCCCATTCTAACTACTTTGTTGTGTATCCATTTGGCTTTTACCTGGTTCTTAGCTCTTTATGGCCATGTTCCTTGCCTAAGTCATCATGTATGGCTGGGGAACAACCTCATAGCATAAGAGTCCATCTTTTGATTGTACAACAGTATTAAATGTTATATGAGGAAATCTAATCAAAGACTACATATGTATTTCTTCTCTAAAATTCATGGTTGCTTCTTTTTTCCCCTAATTTTTATTAAATTTATTGAGGTGACACGGATTAACAAAATTATATAAATTTCAGGTGCACAATTCCACAATGCATCATCTGTACACTGTATTATATGTTCACTGCCCCAGGTCAAGTCTCCTCCCAAGACCATTTATCGCCCCCATGCCCTCCTCCACCTCCCCCATCCACACTCCCGCTGGCAATCACCACACTGTTGTCTATGGTCATGAGCCCCCCCCCCTCTCTCTCCCCCCTCCCTCCCTCCTTCCCCCTCTTTCCTCCCCTCCCTCCCTCCTTCCCCCTCTCTCCCCGCTGCTCAATCTCTCCAGGTCACTTTATAATGTAAAATACATTACAAAAGTGAAAATTTAAATGTAGAAGCAACCACTAAAAAAAGTTTAGGACATCCCGTTTTTTTGTTTCCCTTTCGGTTTGTGTCTATCCTGTTTATTAGAAATGAAAATCAAAAACAAAACACTATACTTCTTTTTCTTATACCAACCAAAACCAATCTCAAAAGAATATGTGTTGACTTGGGCTTAGAAATGTTCCAGGAAGATAAACATTGATAGCTTAATTGACTAATATTCTAATTATTTAAGTATGACAAAGATAACTAAGTTCATGTTAATTTACTGATTTCTGTATAATATAAATGCTTTTCTGATACTCTTTTAAATGCTAAAATATTTTTAAAATTACAAAATGATTAATACCTCACAACTGCTCTGAATTTGATGACATTTGTAATAAAACAGCCTTTATTTGACTTTGTGTTAAGAAGACTATTTCCAGAAGTGTGTGGCTTACATTTGTAAAAACAGTGTTAACGTGCTTTACATTCACCCAAGAGTTTGCTTTGTTCCAAATCCATGTGCTTCATTTTTAGTTTTCTCGACAGACACCTTCACCTCAATGTCTCAAAAAAAAGAAAGAAAGAAAGGAAAGACTGCTACACCTCCTATAGGTCTTTATTAGTTAACAGCACCAACATTAAGTAATCACCCAATTGATAAAATTAAGGGAAATCTCTTTAGATAGTTAATCAGGCCAATTATACCTTAGTTACCAATCACCTGGTCACCTGCCTCCTCTCCATTTCTATTGTTCCTTTTTTTGATGCATTTTCTTTAATATATCATCTCTGCTATTGAGTAATCTACCCAGCCCTGGCTGGTGTGGTTCAGTGGGTTGAGTGTACCCATGAACCCATGTTCCTTAATCCAATGGTTCTCAAAAGTATAGCCCCCAGACCAGAAAATACCTGAGGATTTGTGAAACCCTTTGTTTTAGTAAGCCCTCCTGATGATTCTGATTGATGTCGCTATAATCCATTTACTCTGTGTTCCTTAGATTTACATTTCTTGAAGACAATGTTATTATGTTATTCACTAGAGACGCCCTGATGCCTAAAAGATAACATGCCAGCTCTTGCAAATGAGAGCTCCCCCTCATCTCAACCTCTTTGGTTCCATGTAGACATAGGATTTGTTCCAGTCATCACAAACTACCTGAAGTTTACTCACCGAGGCTAATACAAAAGCAATGAGACCTACACATAGTAATTAGCCTTCACAATGAAAACCATCTAGACGTTCCTGGGGGTGATTTCACGAGCATGTCAAAGTGAATTCTAAAGTACCAGGAGGTACTGTGTACATGAGTATGCTCACCATGCACAGAGCCACGCAGGCAAAAACAATTCAATGTAATTTAGAGATGGACTGAACAGTGTGATCTTCATAAGAAAAAAATGTATAGTTGAGACTAAAGAATAGTTCAATTCCAACAAGAGATTGCTACTTGCTGTTGATAAAACTACCTAGGTCAACATCGATGTAAGTTTTAGATTCCTTTGATAATATTTTGTACTCTTCTCATAGCAAAAAATTAAGTGTTGCCAATATCTAGGCCAAGCCAGGAAAAGAAGACTAAAACTCGTATCTTATCTAAATGTCAAGTCTAATGGTTATTAGAAATGAACTGAGTCATTGCTTACTCTCTTAACCTCCCCTTTCTTCTGGAAAGAACATCTTTCACTTGAAGAAACTCTCATATCTGCCTCAATCCTGTGAATTTGAGTAGACTGTCCCTCCAAGACCACAAGCATTGGAGCTGAGGTGGGTTCCTTTGCCCTTCTGGGAGTTCAGAGGTGCTAAAATTGAGACCCAGCCAGAGGGAGGAGGAGTAGGTCTACATCAGGGAAGACTAAAGCCAACACCTACACAGAGGAGATAAGACACGGAAGAACCACAAAGTGTTCCAGGAACACAGTACTCTAGGAACTGGGTCCATCCCAATGGACTGAGAGCTCCAGGCTCTCTCAGTTCTTTAAGCTACTGAAGTAATTGTCAGGTAAACCCCCTTTGGGCAAGCTTCACACAGATTTCACTGATGACCAAGAGTCCTAACAAATACAAGGAATGTTTCCAAAACACTATATTGCAGAAAAACTAATTTTCATTATTTCAAAATCTTTTTATTGAATAAGTTTGTACAGAATGACACATTTTACTGCATAAAAATTTTGAAATAGTTGAAGCTTGCAACCTTATGAAATATGAAACAGTGATAATGATTACATAAAATGGTTAGGTAGACATCAGGGGACATCAAGTTTTTAATAGGAAAATACCCTGTGTACAACGTTAGAATGTAACTGATTTAATTTCTTATCTCAAGGTCTTGTGCCATCACAAAAGTACTTAGTCTTATCACAACAAATGAACTAAAATTATTTCTGAGGTTGAATCAGAGCACCACAGTGCTTAACTATATGTATACATATGTTACATTAGCACCCTGCATTCGTGAAAATTCATAGAAAAAATGCGGAAATCTGTGTTCTTCATAGATTGTTGCAGACAATTTTAATCTGATTCTTCATTGCTGAAGTAAGAGCTGTCACAGTACTCAGCCATGTAAAGGAATTTATGAACAACTGGGTTCATCCTCGGTATCCAGTGTCGGGGAACCAGATATGTGGACAGATTAAATAAATCTACAAATACCTTGTACCTGTCACTGGAAAAAACACATGCAGATGTTTTAGATTTGTTGAAATGAAATATTTAAAACTTTTCATCAAAACGGTGTTATTAGCATTAAGGTTGCTCCATTTCTATTCTGTATCCAAAGTTCATGCCCGTAAAACCATGTTACGTGTTTCATTGATCTTGACCAGGCAGGTTCAAAGTACAACCTAGTCTCATTACTGTCCTATTTCCAACCTTTAAAGGACAGTATTCAAAATAATGAATTTAAAGCATCCAGAGTTTTTAGTTGTTCATTGGATAATATTTCCCACCTGCAAAGTAGCTGCCAAGTAACTGACATAAATGGATTACAACATATAAATACCATCTTAAGATTCACAGTAAATGTCATCAGAGTGCTTATAATACTAAAAATTGCTTTTGTGTTTGTTAGTCCACTATTGTAACTTGCAGTTTTATAGCAGGAGAGCATTGGCCTTTGAAGTCAAATTTGGGTTCAAATCCTGTTCTGTCACTTGCAAAACGTTTTGTCAAAAAAGTGAAAGCAGTCTTTGCCTTTACCTTACTGTGGAACGCAGGTAGTGGTAGCCTGAGGACCCACCAGTGCCAGCTTTGCTGCCCAGCATCCTGTGCACCAGGCACACATGGTTATCTAGGCAAACACACAAATTAACTTCATGGATACTTTTCTGCTATTAGTTCCACAATGTTCTAAAAAGAAAGGGTCAACAATGACTACCGCTTCTGAGAAGAGGGCTCACACCTTATCACTTAGCCATATGGAATATTCACCTGTGAGAGCCAGATGAGACCCACAGGTTGCCTGGCACCCCGCTTGGTTCAGAATCCTATTTGTCTTCAACCATATTTACATTTAGTCTGTGAACACAATAGGGGAGAGCAGGGCCATAGTACAATTTTAATGAGCTCTGGTCATTTTTCTTTATGGGTCTCTTCTTCCATTAAAAAATATTAAAATTATATATTTAAATTACATTGGCATAAAGATGAATAAGTTACTATTATATAGTAAAACATTTATTTGGACCTACAGTTTATTTTTTCCTTCTGATTGTCAAGTAAAATATTTTATGGGCCTCCAAAGTTACTGTGGGCTCCAGGCATTATGCTTTTCTGTATATTGGATAAGTGGACTCTAGGAAAGAATAATTGTCAAGGTTGTTTTAACAACTCACACTGAAAAGATGGAAGAAAAGAGAGCAGGAAAGAGGGCAGATGGAGAAAATGGGTAAAGGAATAAGACCGAGGAGAAGAGTTATGGGGGTTGGGATGAAGGGGCAGACTTACATCTCCATTTGGTCAAGAGTGTGTCTATGTCCATGAGAGAAGTCAGCAGCTGGAAAGGGACCTGGAATCTAGGTTCCTCCCTAAAGGAGAAATAAGAAGAATGTGTTCAAGCAAATCTGATGTGTTGGGAAGAGCATGACTCTTACCATCTACTGGCCCTGAAGACAAATGTCAACTTTGCTCTTAGAAGCTGTGGCATCTCTGAATTACCCAATCAGTCTTAGTTTCTTCATCAAAAAAAATGGTGACACTACCTTTCACTTCACATCATTTGTGTGAAGAGTCTAGACTATTCCATGTAATATGAGTGAAGTAACCAGCCAGAGTCACACCTACCATTGATCCTCATTAATAGGCAGACATATGCGCTAGCTCAGATTTTCCAGTTAGTATACTCAAAAACTTTTTCCAAACAAAGATATTAAAACTCAAAAACAAAGACTGCTTTTTATTTCCTCTAAAATATATAAATGTGTAGTATATATCTAATCCTTCAACCCTCTCAGTAAATTTTCTACTTTGGATACATAAATTTGAGTGGCATATATTTAGTAAAAGTTTAAGAAAAGAGTAAAAACATTTTGTTTATATTGTCATTCTGAAAAACTATTTGAGAGGATTACAAATTAAATAAATACAAATTAGTAAAATGTCCAGTTAATATAGGTGTTTTTGCTAGTGTGCTGATTTTGCCATTCTTTCTTCTGATTCATTTAATTCATGAAACATGAAGGTGAGATCTTCATGCATATGAAAGAGTCTGTGAACTTTCAAAGGACACCTCAAATGCATTAAACAGTGAAGACATTGTACTTGAAATTGCTGAATAAGTAGAATGACAGTTTATAAGGCGTTTTCACTTTACCCATTCTTTTTTTCCTTTATAAAACAGGAATAACTCCACAACATTGTTTAAAGATGGACCATTTCTGAGGCAGATAGCATGGTGGTCTTTCCGGACACAATATCATATAATAGTAGAATTTTTTCGCCTAATCCTTATTGTATTTTCCCCATTACCATTTAGTCCCTTTATACCCCCTCCTCCCAGTAATCACCATACTGTTGTCCATGTCCATGAGTCCTCTTTCCTAAAAGAATATTTGATTAATTCTTACGGGGTTTTTTAAAACCAACTACAGAAATAAAGTTATACCCTTACTAGTTATGAGAGAGAAAACCTCATTAAACCTCACAAGGAATTATTTCCTGTTTCCTCCAAAACTAAATAACTTATTAGAACTATGATTGCAATTATAGGCTTTTTACTTGATACATTATCTATATCCAATCCTCAGTTTAACTTCTGCTTCTTTTCTAATTTGCTTTTACCTGTAAAAATAAATCATAAAGGCCCCCTGCAGTGCTCTGTACGACAGTCGTCTTTCACCTGCAGGATACACAGTTTTAATTTAATAGGTCATTTAGGATAGTCATATTAATTTGGCAGCATCACCTTAAATAATTGTTCTATGTTTTTAGAAAACAATGTAGCTTTTAGGTTAAACTTTTTATCCCTTAGTTTGGAATTAGAATACTATCATATCAATCATTGTTTTAATATTAGAATTTAAAAAGAAAGTTAAATATATACACATAGATATACCCTAAATTCTCAAAACCTTTAATATGTTATGAAAGCCATATATAGAAAAACTACTTAAATTCCATGATAGAACATATTATTCAAGTAAAATAGTATGATGGCTTTTTAAAAAGTTAAACAAGACTTATTCCAACTTTCATTTGAAAGTAGTTTTTAATAATTTACTTAAAATTACTTGAATTACTTAAAACCACTTGATTTCAAGGAGCATAATCATTATATAAAATTTATGTGTTGCTCTATCTATAGGAAAACAAGATTTTGCTATTTTTTACTGAAGTTCTATCAAAAACCAAGGCTGATTACCTCTCAGCTTATAGAATTTCACACTGATTTCATATATTGCTATGCCTTATACTTGTATTATAAAAATTATTTTTTTACTTGTATCTTTTCCCACAAGATTTATAGGTACTTTAGAATAAAAGTTCCAAATAAAAAAATGAACACAGAGTTTTAAACAGATCAAAGAAAGGAGTTAAATAGTAAAAGTATTTTGATTATAATGGTCAATTAGTTTCAAGAACTAATAGCTCAATATTAATTATGCCAGAAGTCTAAATGTGTGTTTTTCTTGGTCAGATGGAGAAATATTTCATTGGCTAAGCCACTCTTACCCTTCCAATGGAGTTACTCCTTCCCCCCTTACTGCTACTGTAGTATTTACAATAACATCATTGTCTTATAGGAATAAGACAATGTTAGGCTATGAACTACTTGAAAGAATATTTTCGATGTATCTTGGTAACCTTCATGTCTGATATATTATGAAAGTTTCTACCAACGTCTTGGTGATAAGCTGAACACTTAAAGTTGTTAATATAATAAATAACATTAACCAATTCTTGTTTCTATGAGTGAAATACCAATTTTCATTTCATTTCCCCCAAGTGGGGTTTGATCTTTTGATGTCACAGTAGTAAAGTGATGGGAAACAAACCATAAAGTAAAATACCTACTTTTATGAAGGAGATGCTCATGGCATTTCTCATCAAATAAAGAGAGTAATGTCTCTTTTTGTTTCTGAAATTCAGCCATTTGCTCGTCTTTTTCCTCTGACTCTTTTTTAGCCTTTGGGGAAAATACTGTATTAGTCTTTTCATGAGAGAGAGTAGATTCTAATTTTAGAAAACATTGCCTGTTAGAAGTAGCTTTCCCAGATGCAGAAAGGTTGTATTAGAAATATTTACTGTTCCATCTAATATTAGAACTTGGAAATTATGGCTTATGAGAAGGACTCTCTTCTCAATCACTAGTTCTATCCTTCTATTTTAGTTTAAGTGATCTGTTAAATATTCTTTTCAAGAGGACATAACTGGATACAAGTGATCAATACTGATCTACTTTTTGACAGAAATTATTTAACACAGTAAGTAAAACAATTCCACTTAGGAAAAGTTAAGAATTCCTGGCCAGAAAAAAACTAGAAACACAACTGAAACTCTATACTCAGTATTACATTTTGTAAATATAATTTCTCAGCTATATTTCACCCTAATATTTTTATTCATTTTATATCTATTGATTGGTTTAAGAAAATTTTCTTCTGCCTATAGCACATGCTCACTTACAACTCAGTTAAGTTGGAGCAAAAATCAGTTAAATCTAATTATATTCAATTCCTCAGAAAAACCAAACTGTTTGTTAAACAGTTTGTATACATACTGTATATAAAGCTTTGGTAAAGCTTGTATACATACTGTTGCCAATTAAATATTCATTTTTTAGCAAATGTTATGCTCAGGTGATCAATAAAATTATGAGCAAAATTGAGTCCCCTGATATTATGCAATATATTGTCTGGTGGTAATAAAACATAGAACAAATAATAACCTGAGCATTAAGTTGTGGCCATGAACACACAGTGGTATATGGAAGCAGTATAGTGCCATGATAAATTATAGTAGTAAAGAGGTCAAGAAAGACCTTTCCAAAGAAGTTTTCCTTTAATCAAGACTTGAAGAATGAAAGGGAATTATCAGGGGAAGACTATTCCTAGCCCAGGGAATAAGATATAAAAGGATGTGGTGGTAAGTTCAAAATAACTAAATTTAGTTTAAAGAAAATTTATATGATTGGTACACAAAAGATCATGAAATGCCTTGAAGATTATGTTAAAGATTTTTATGGTTGTGCTGAAAAAAATGAGAAGATATCAAAGAGTTTCAATCAAAGGAAAAATGTGAGTTGATCTGCATTTTGAAAAAATCACTCAAACTGCAGTATACGGAGTAAATTGAAATGGAGCCATAATGGGTAGCCTTGTAAAATAGTTGAAAGACTAAAACTTTAGTCCAGATGGAAAACAATGAGAATCTGCTCTTGATGGGTCTTGGTAGATTAAAAGGAAGTACTTGAGAGCTATTTAGTAGGTTAAGTCAACAGCATGCCCTGATAATTTGAAGAAGTGGTTGGGAAAGAAGAAGTTGCCAAGGACCAATTGTATGTATCTGACTTGACAAACACAAGTTTGTAGGAGAAAAACTTGGAGAAGACCAGATTGATACTAGAGTGGATGGAAAGAAATTTTTTGAAGTTTTTTTTTTTAATTAGTGTGGTTTTTAGAGGACCAGGAGCAATACAAATTAAGATGTTAAATATATGATCTGAAATGTAACGAGATATCTATGCTAGAGGTAAATGTTTAAGAATCATAGGTGTATAAGTAGATATTGAAGCAGTGGGTATAAATGAGTTCATCTAGTGAAACAGCACAGAGAAATGATACAGATCTGTAAGCTAATGCAGCCTTGGGAAATGCCTCCATTCCCATTTATTGGTCTCACAGATAAAAATGAGCCAGTAAAGGAGGCAGAGAGAGAGAGGGACCAGAGAATTAGATCAAGACAGAATATCGTGTACCAGATCCAAGGTGTGGGTGGGGGTATGAGTGCTTAAGAAAGAGTAAGTAGTCATTAGTATTGAATGTCACTGTTTGATCAAGAAAAGCGAAGATAAAAAATGGCTATTGGATTTATGTACATGGAGGGCATTTGTGAATAATAGGACAAGAAGACGGGCTGGATCGTGTTGAAGATTAAATGAGAAAAAAAGGAAATAATTTTGATAAGTACTGTTCTAAAACACTTTACAAATATTAATCAAATACTCATAATTATTCTATGAAGTAGATACTCTTATTTTCTATTTTATCAATGATGAAAATGAAGCAAAGAGAAGTTTCAGAAGACATTCAATAACACATGGTTAAGAAGTGGAGATGAAACTTGAATCCATGCAGTGTAACTTCAGAGTCCCTGCATGAAGTATTACCTGAAACACCCTCTCAAGAAATAGAATTAAAACAATGCTTCAATGTATTCAGTCATGAAGAAAGGAAGTGGCCTGTAATTTGAAGGACATGAGGAATCAACAGTATTTTCCTAAGTGAGAAACTTGACATTGTCTGAGAACCACTAGGAAGAACCCAGAGCCAAGGGAAAATTCTATAGTTAAGTATAGTTAGTTGACTAGTCTTTTATGAGCCTACTTCTGTCTAGAATTGGTCATAATCTGAAATTTTCAGTAGAAATGAAAAAGGTCTATTAATCTCATCTATTTTTAAAGATAAAATCTTGCCTACAATAAATTTAATTTAATTGTTATTGTACATAAATAAAATTAAATTAACCATGTAATATATTCTAAGCAGATGCATTTATGAAAGAAAAAGAACATAAGAAAAGTGAAAGTTTAAGAGATAAGTGGGTAGTTATTTTTTAAAATTCCCAGTACTTTTGTAGTAAACTTATATTTATGTATGGCATCATAAATACCTGAATCATTGTGAATTCTTCTTCCAGGCCTTTAATAATATGTTTTTCCAACTTTCCCCAGAAGTTAAATCCTTGTGGCTCTAAACCTGGTGTTCTTTCCAGCCATGCCTTAAATAAATATTATTTTTAAATGAACATATTATAAAATTTTAAATATGTAAGATATAACTAGCATTTATGAGCTTGAAACAGAAAATTTTCATGGACTTGAGGAATATATGCAATAAGGTTTTTTTGTGTATAAACACTTCCTTTCCCTTCAATTTCTTCATTTAAAAAATAGAAATCTATTATATTTCATCTCTTAATCTTTCAGGAAATTGTATCACTGATGTTTACTCTTTACCTATTATAAATATGTTATCACAAATCACAATTTTGTTCTACCCATATTTTTAGGACCATAAGACTCTCTGGACCATAAGATGCACCTAAGTTTTAAAGGAGGAAAACAGGGAAATAATGTTGAAGCAAAATATGTGGTAAAATATTTAATAACCTGTGACCCTACTCTATCACTGCCTCCCAGAACTCACAGTGAGCCAGGAAAGCTACATTCAGACTACAAGGTGCACTACTCTTTTTCTCCTAAATTTGTGGGGGAAGATGTGTCTTATAGTCTGAAAAACATGGTATATAGGTACGAACATATGCCTATGTTGTTTTGGTGACGTCTCTGGTTTATTCTAAAAATACTTTATGTCTTAGGTTCTAAAGGAATTATGACATGTAATAAATGCAGGAGCATGGTGTAATCAACAATTCTGAAACCCACTAACGACTCAATTATTTTAATACTCTGCAAGACTTTTTCATCTCATCTAAATAAAACCTCATTCCTGAATCTCTGTGGATTCTCATTTAACCTATTTTTGATTTGAAGTCAGCTTTCTGATTCTTTTTTTCCTATCTTTATAAGCTGATATACTGCATTATATATATTAACCCAACTCCATATTCATTAAAATAAAAGTTTCATCTGCAAAGAAAAAGTCTCTGTAAAAGAAATCAAGACAATAGAATACTTATTTAATAATTTATTTTTGAATAAAATTAAAAGTTTCTCAAAATTATTATAAGCCCATGGTGGATTAAAATATGAGAGAAAAATTCTGAAGAGGATATACACTAAGTAATATACTTTAATTCACAAAAATACACAGCTTTGGGGACTGTTCAATTTTATAATATTTTAAAACTTTTTAAATTGATGTTCAAATACAGTTGTCTCCGTTTTCCCACCACCACTTTCTCCCGCCCTACCCACAATATTTTGAAGAAGTTAAAGCTCATTAGATAATGAGCCACACTTAGTTTAAAAATCAGCTAATTAAATGTTGCTTAGAAGGGATGTTTAAAAGATTAGATATTAACATATAACTGATTATATTGATATTTCTAAAATTCTAAAGAGAGTTCTTAATATTTTAATTATGTTAATTAGTTAAATTTACACATTTAAGTCTTTGTATAAATACTTTCTGTTCTTATTACAATTACTGTGACCAAACTTTGATAGGAGTTATACAATTCTTATCTGGTGGAAGCTAAATTAAAAAGATGTAAAGTATAGGAAATGAAATATCCAGTGAACGTATATGCATGACCCATGGACATGAACATGGTATGGGGATTGCATGAGCCAGTGGGTGCCAGGTCAAGGGGGCAAAGAGGAAAAAATTAGGACAACTGTAGTAGCATAATCAATAAAATATAAAATTTAAAAATGAAAGAAGAAAAAATGTATTAAGTTAGACCTTAGAAATAGTATTTGAGCATGTACCTCCACTAGTTGCAGAAGTGTTTTCTCCTGCTCTGAATGAAGTACCACTTCATTATCTTCTCCTTTGAAGTTATCACGATAATGTCTTCTGTTGTAAGGTACTCTTGAACTCTGAAGGACACCTATCTTGTTTTCTAATAGTCGGAATTGCAAACTCTGAAAGCCAGATGCTGGAGATAAGTACTCTCTTTTAGGTAAATAGGGGAAGAGAAGAGAAGAGAAAGAAAAAAAAAGCATTGACATTGTAAATCACTGTAATGATTTATCTATTGTGAGAGGCTCTCAGTTTCACTGCCCTAGATATCATCAAGAACACAAACACACAACTGCCTAGAATTGGACCTATGATTTCGATGTTGCTGACACAAAGGAAATGAGCTACTTTGACATCACTGTTGACATCTGTCAATCAATTTAAAGTTGAAATGTTTGTATAATTTGTAAAATGCTACATTATAACATTTTAAGTTTCTAACATTGTAACTTAAGTTTTTTTCTTAAAGATGGGTGGATATGGAACAATATTTTTTCAATAATGTGAAAAGATTATTTATAATTTATAAATATTTGATCCATTCTAAAACTTACATTTTAAATATTATTGATGACATCACTACCTACAACTATATGATCACCAATAAGATACTATAAGTGAAATGAAGGGGATATTCCACAGGGCAAAATAGGCAATCGAAATATTATTACTGCTACCCTGTACTGCCACCTCTTTGTCTGCATCCTTCATCTAGTTGGTACCAAAACTATACCTTTCAAAATCAACCACAAAGCAATTCCCTTACATTTTCTTTGATTGTCAAACATGTTGGATATTACACCGTGTTGCATATTACACCATGAAATGCACCTAATGATCTAGGAAAATGTACTTTCAAATTTGATATATAAAAAAGTTTTTTCACATATATATATATATATATATATATATATATATGACTTTGGCTGCCTAAAAATGTAGAGTTAAACTTTATAAATTAATCCATAACTTATTCTTTTTATATTTATTTATTTATTTATTTATCTTTAGAAGGGAAGGGAAGGAGAGAAGGAGAGAAATATCAATGTACGGTTGCTTCTGGTGCATCCCCGGCTGGGAACTGTCCCCAGCTGGGAACTGGCCTGCAACCCAGGCATGTGCCCTGGCAGGGAATCGAATCATGATCTTTTGGTTTGCAGGCTCGTGCTCAATCCACTGAGCTATATCAGCCAGGGCCATAACTTATTCTGATAATTTTGCTGAAATCCTTCTTTACATGTCACTCCAGTTTCTCTTCTTCGCTTTTAATTTTTTAGAAATTTAGTTATATGAGTTATATAAGCCATTTTAAGCCATTTTGATAAGTGGTCTCAAATTCTTTTTGGGTAAAAGCATGGCAAAATGATGAATTGAAATTAATTGATCACATTACATTTTTATGTAAAATTAAATGATGAAATGTTTTAATTACTCCTCAAATGCTTTGTGATTAAGACTCCCAGGTACTCATAGTGACAAATTGTCAGTAGAACAGACTCCTCTTGTGACACAACACACAAGTTCTCTTTTGACCCCAGGACAGCGAGAAGGTCAACCCCATTGCATCATCACAAAGCCACAGGGGCATACCTGAAGTCATTGAAGTCCAAGGCCGTCATCGTTTCCAGAACAGAAAACTGCTGTACCAGTAGTTTAAGGATCACCACCACTCGATGCATTCGTGTAACAACCTTAAGCATATTCCTCTCATCCCTGACCTGATGGGTAAGAAATAAAACATTGAATAATCAATTCTAGATTTTAGAAGATAAAAGGTAGTCTACAAACAGTACATTCCTATTAATTTTATCTTTACTTCAAAAAGGAATATTGGAATAAAAATTTGCCTTAAGTAGGAGGGGGGACTCCAAAAAACCAGGAATTATCCTCTGGAGGGCTGGTGCTTTGGAGTGTAGGCTTCCCCTGCTAGGTGAGTGTTCTAGAAACCCATCTGTGTCAGTGTTCCAGCTGCAATTGCTGTGAGAGGCTGTGTTCAGCTTCAGTGAATGTTTTTTGAAGGCTTTCAAAACGTTTGCCCATTTCACAATTGGTTATTTACTGAGCGCCCCGGCCCACATGGTGCTGAGTGTTCAGCAGTTTTTGATCAACAATGGCATGACCGCAGGTCCCTATCCTCCCTATTTACCTGATCTCACCCTAAGCAACTTGTTTTCGTTTTCCTAGATTAAAAAAAAAAAAGTCCTCAAAGGGAAAGGTCTTGTTGACTTGGAAGAGGTGAAAAAAAAAACAGCAGAAGCACTAAAAAGCACCAAAATCACTCAGTTCCAAAACTGTCTGAGCAGAGAAAAAACAACTCAATGGGTGTCTCGCATTAAATGGAGAGTACTTGGAAGGTGACTGAATTTAAACGTGTAAGAATAGATACACACTTTTTTATAAATAAATTCTGGGCTTTTTGGGTCCCCCTCAGATGTATATGTTGAACTAATAGTAACTGGATTGTGTGCAGGGAATGTCTGCAAAATTAGAATCTTTTTCCTTTCTTTAAAAATGGGAAATTACATGGAAGTAAGTTAGGAGTAAATTCTGGAACATAAAACCCACTAATTTTAAGCCAATTTTTCTGTAAGTTTGCTCTGAGTAATAAAGGTCAAAGTGCCATGAAAAGGTAAGGTGAGGATTAAGCAACACCTGGACAAACCTGCTCTTTCCAAGACTAGTGCTATTGACATAAAAGGAAATTGTGTTCATAAAAAAGAAGAGCATTGTCTGTGTAAGGCTGTTCTCTCTTTCCCAGCCCCTCCTGAGCAGGGGCTTCCTGGTAGAGCACCTGTGGCCATGGCCTGTGTCTGGCAGGCTGTGAAAGCAGGAAGCAGGGTGGAGCTCAGATTTCTGCCATCACCCACACCTCTGCTCTTCTCCCACTCCCGTCCTCCTTGTCTTTTTCTTCATTGGCCTCCCCTCCACCTCAACTCTTTTCTCCTCTTCTTCCTCTTGCTGCTCTTTTCCTATCTCCCCCTTCTCTTCCTGTTTACTTTCCTCATTATTGTTCCTCTCTTCCCCTAACAAATATTCATTAGAAATACAATTCTGGTACTTAGAAATTAAAGGCTGTATATCAGCTATTCTGCAGTCTACCATCATCTAAAACAACTATTCTTCAGAGCAAAAAAAAAAGGTTCCAAACAAGGGGCTTGAAACTGAAATTTGAAAGGAACCTGACCATCTGGCTTTATATCCTTAGTGCTCACCTGTAAGTGGAACCTAACCAACAAAACAAACAAGCAAGCAAAATATAACCAGAGACATTGAAATTAAGAACAAACTGACAGTAACCAGAGGGGACTTGGGAGGGGAGAACGGGGAAGTGTTTTCAGGAACATGTATAAAGGACACATGGACAAAACCAAAGAGGGGCAGGATCAAGGGCTGGGAGTGGGGATGGCTGGGATTGGGGGTAGGGGTGGGGGTAAAATGCAGGCAACTGTACTCGGACAACAATTCAATTTAAAAAATAGTAAATATATCCTCTAGTGTGGATTAAAACAATTTTTATAAAATTTTAAAAAGAAAGGAACTTGAGTGCAATGTGGAGCTCAAGGTAGCAATGGCACTGGGAAACTGTGACTACACTCTTGTCCACTGAAAACTTTCATTAAGTAAAAATGTCACTATTTGGTGTTATGTTTTTCTCATTCATAATATTTTCTACATTCTCTAAAAAGAGTAAGAAACCAATATTATGACAATAACTTACAAGGCCATTCTCAAAGATCTCACGAACAGAATCTAATTCCCAGAGGATTTGCTTAAACCAGAGTTCATAAGCTGCAATGAGAAAACCATTGTCAGTTGGAAAATTCTGGGAGCATCTTTGACCATAATTATATAAAAGACATGGTTCATACATTGAAAGAAATAAAAATGTAATTTAAAAATTAATAAATGTCAGCATAGCCCTTTTATATGCTACAACCAAATATTAGTGATAAACTTACAATAGTTCCCTTTTTATTGAATGTTTTACTATGTCATGTGTATTATTCATAGGCTTTATAGTTGTTGTTATTATTACACTGATTTCTCTCAACACATATATTGTTCAAGTCTTTTAGGATATAGCACATGATCTAATTCTACCTTCCCATCAGGAGATGGAGGTATATAGAGAAGCATAAGTGATGCCCGACTTTATGTATAAACGGAAAATTCAATATTTACTAACCTGATGTATTTGACAAAGTTTGGGTTCTGGGAACTTAGAATGTTAAGGGAGGACAAGCATATATGAACAGCCTAAATCTAAAATGTTGTCTTACTTATCTATTTCCCTTAGTACTTACTTAGCACCATGTTGGGGTTAGCGTTAGGTTCTTAATATTTTGGGGTCACAGACCTCTTTAAGATATATTATCAAAATTTTGCATATAATTTCAAAGAGTTCAGGGACTTTCTAAACTCCCAAAGTTATGGACTTCTACATTAAAAACCACTGACCATGTTGGCATCACCACAGCCACCAACCTGGAACAGCCACCAACCATTATTCCTTCTCAAAGTGACCTTCTGGGGGACCTTTTAAACCTCGACCTCAGTCCCCCAATCAATGTGCCACAGAATCCTCCATGTAGGTGGGAGCAGTAGATCTCTTGAGAGGAGGACCAGATAGTCTGCTTGGCGGTGACCTTGGCCTGGGCATTGGAGGAAGTCTGGCAGGGGACAATCCTTCATCATGTCATCAGTGCCTGCAACCTTTGCTCCTTAACCTATGGTTGCTGTGGCCAGCAGTGATCTGAATGATTGATTTGAATTCTCTAAAGGGGTAGGCATAGCATCTGTTGGAAATGTGGCTGCTACGGCTGTCTGGCTGCCTGCAGTAAAGACTTGGGAATTTCTGAAACATTTACTCATCATCAAGGGCACAACTATATGGAAATGCACTTCCCCAACAAAGCTCTGTAGCACATGAGACTTTGCTGTCAGCTTAAGAATGGCTTTGGTGTCATCCCCAGCACTCCTCTGGCCAAACATTCACCACTGATGCCAAACCAGAGCATTGATGTCTCCCTGCCTCTCAAACCCTTGGGCCCAGTCATGAACCTGGAACCTCTGAATTACCTGCAGGTGCCTTTGAAAAACAATATGGATGTCTCCTTCATCTCACTCCATGTGCTTTTTCTGTAGATGGTGGCAAAATGGAGAGCCAGGTCTTTCTTGCAACATGGAAGAATATTCCCAATAAGGATGAACTTCAGTGTCAGTTTAAGGAATGTCATTAAAATACTGGCCCTATTTCCAGCAAGTCATAAAACAACAATTGCCAAGAGGATTTTGGAAGGATAGGGCATGCTGTGTCAGCCTCTGACGTTCATTTAATGGCCTTTGGATCTTGGCTAAGCTACATATCCAGCCAGGAAACCCCAAGAGGATGCTGTTGCTGAAGTGTAGAGCTGCTGAAGTCTCTCAGCACATCTATCAGGTCTACAACAGCATTTTGAAAAACTAGCTGATGGTCCAGGGCCACCCTGTGATCAGTTCAAATCAGAAACTCTTCTCTGGAAGAAATTGTAGAATCTGACCCCAAATACACTGAGGCCACCCAGCATGGTAGAGACTAATATGACCTGTGCTAACATCAGGGCACAAATTGTTGGATAGTTTCAGCTTCTTGTGAACATTTGTAACCAGTGCTCCATCACTTCGCCCCTCTTGCCACCTGTCGCTGCTCTCTGTCCTTACTTGAGGGCTTCTCTATACTGTGCCAGTGGCTGGTTCTTTTTAATGCAATTTGACATATTATAATTGAGAGCTCATTTGAAAAGCAGAAAAAGACAAAATATTCAAGCAAAGCAAAGTGTCATTGAAACATGAAAAAGAAGCAAAACAGTGCCTAGACGTTTTGAGTCTAAAGAGGATAAACACACATTTTAGATAAAATTTCCATTTCTATTAAATACCAGATTTATGTGGGAGTATGTTAAGTCATAATAAATTTGAGAGATGTATTTCTTGAAAGCAGTTTTCTAAAGTTCCAAATTGAAAAATAATAACATATTAGCTTGAAAATTCTTTATCAATTCCAAGATAAATGTCTTATTGGATTGAGGACGAGGCTTAAAATTAAACCTGATCCAATTAGCAGTGAAGTAACATAAAGAAGACTTTCAAATCCAAGTAGAACATTCTGTAAGAATTTATCTGACAGCAAAATATCTTGAGCATTTGTAACAAAGCAGATTCCTTGGGCTTTCACCATTTTATAGTTAAAATAATTGTAGTTTCCTCATTATTGATGCAAAATGCCTGTGTAATAATTATCGTCCAAACTTTTGTGCAACTTACCTTGATGAGTTATGATGAAAAGGTGCTCATCATGGATTTTATTTCCTTTTATTTCACTCTGAAGCTCCTGTGCCTTCAAAATTTTTTCCAACTTTAAACAAAAAAAAATAGAAAGCATTATTTTGTATAAACTTCCAGTTATAAGATAAATAAGCTATGAGGACCCAATTTATAACAGAGTGGTTATATATAGTTAGCAACACTGTATTATGCACTTGAAAGTTTCTAAAAGAGCAGATCTTAAATATTCTCACCACACTAAAGAAAAATGGTAATGATATGACGTGAGAGACATGTGAGCTCAATGCTGCACTGATAATCATATTGAAATATATAAAGGTATCGAGTGAACAACCTTAAACTTGCATGATGTTATATATTAATCACATTGCAATAAAACTAAAAAAATGAGCGACTGATTTTGATATTGAAAAATTTGGTTTTTATCAACTTTAATATGAAGTAAAATACAGTACTGAAAAAATAACCCAAATTCTCAAATTCTCAGACTTCATTCTATTTTCTTTTAAACAATTAATGAGTCTCCTCATAAATAGTGAGTTAAATTTGTGGCTTTTATTTTTTTCTCGGGAATTTTATATTTGGCAAGATCTATTATAACAAATGCTATTAAACTCATTGAGAAGCAAGCCACAGTTCTTCCATCTCTTGAAAAAGTGTGATAAAAGCTTGATAACTTGCTTAGCTGACTCTGAAACTTACATTATTCTATTTCCCTAAAAAGCCTATTTTAAGAAGATCTTCACATTCTTAGTCAGCTCATCATTAGAACTGCACTGATGAAGGCATCAAGAGCCCTAATCATTTGACTTCTTAAACTATATAGAAGACAAACAGGCTAAAATTTACCCCAGAATAATCTCCAATACCTCATTTGTATCATCCCTCTTTTATGTATTAATCGTGTCAAGAAAATATTTGCCTTAAAAATTTCTATTTTATAAAAGAGATTTAAAAGAGATTTTTTTTCCTGGAATCATTTGGAATTTAGTGAACTTGTCTTATTTATACAAGTTGTATAATACTTTCTAGTCATCTACACTAATTTGATCATTTGTACTCTTCCACCCAGATTCTACATTTTTTGCCTTTACTGTACCTCTGTTGGAGAGATTAATTTTCATACGAGTCTCTTGAATTGTTCAAACAAAAATTGAAAAGCATAAATTTCTATTAGAAAGAGTATTATTAGGGCCAGAAAACTGTTTGATGACTGAGAAAAAAAAACAACAACACACCCAAAAATGGAAGCTAAATACTGTAAGATAATCAGCTACTTACATGAAGATAATCTCCATAGACAAGTCCTCCTTTGCTGGCTTTATTTATACCAGTTTGTGATTCATCTTCTTCACTGCCTTCTAAAGACAGTTTTTCAAAAGGATGACTGCAGATTAAATAAGTGATGGAAAAAATAGATCTTGAGAAAACACAGTCATTAATAATATAAGGGATTAAAATGCTCTTATTGCTAATTATTTTAAAAGAAATTATTAATCAAGGGAAAAAGGGTGACAGTTTTTAATGCTCTTGAAATTTGGAAACTAAAGTGTTCATACTCAGCATTTCTAAGAGCCTAACCATATTTAGAATAGAGGCAAATACTTACCTAAGGCCATTGCTTAAATACGGGCAGCCACTCATGTTGAAAATACTCTGAGAAGCCCTAAGGTGTGACTCTAGACGGATGGTGTATCATTCACCTTCGCAAGATGTTCTGCCACTGCCTTTTATTTAGCTTGCTTGTCCTGAACTGGCCAATCAGCTGTGTCCTTTCAACTCGGCTCTCATTTCAACTGGTTCCTAAATTGAACCTCTGTAAACTTCAGAATGGATTTACACTGGGGAAAGTTTGTTTGCCAGAATAGTTAAGTAGTCTGCCAAACTAAATTACATGACTTGACCAGTTCCTCTTTTGTATCCAAAATAGCAAATGTTAAATAAATTAATAGAAGCCAAGTTAAAAAAAGCATAACTATTCTTCTCCCAGGACACATTTGGCATAGTATTAAGACATGTAAGATGGTGAGCTTATAAAAAAGCAAATATTTATTCTTAGTCTCAGCTCAGAATAGTCTTATAAATCCTAAGCAAAACACCGAATTTGAATGTCTCTGGGGAAAGAAAATCAGTATAGAAAAAAGACAGGGTACATGCTCAGACCCTATTTCCACCTCACCTTCACAGTACTTCTGGCCTAAATCTCATCTCATAATCAGTAGCAGGCTGCTACATTGTATTGGAATTTACTGGACAATTACAGTTCGCCTGTAGCATCCCAATTACAGGGCACTGGGAGTCATCCACATTGGGGTGCTTGGTCTCCAGATAACTTAAAAACAATAATAATGTGTCCACAGTTTCAAACAATGCTAGTGATAAAATATGCTTCCTGGAAAACATTACTCATTGGTCTACATTCTACTGAGGAGCCTTGAGCCAGGGCAGAAGCTCTGTCACCCTGTCGGTCCTTAGTGTAGCACTACCAAGAACCCAGAGACAGCATTCCTCATGATTTGACCCTTTAAAATGGTTGATTCACATCTAATCTACCAAAGTCATTAAAATCCAGAAACTTTCTCTCTAGTCTTGGTTCCGAAGAATCTACAACAGCCTGGGGTAAAATGGGAAAAAAACAGGCTCCACTGGGGGAAGTCCCAGAATGACCAGGCACTCAGACTTTGGAGGCTTAGGGTCCCCTGTGTGAGTACAAGGATGCCCCAAACACCTGCTGCAGTGGCAGAGTTATGGAAGGGGCTGAAGGTAGAAAAAGAAAAAAAAAAGGTGTAAGGGCCACAGTGGCTGCTATGGTCTGGCCTCCCTTGTGCTTGGAAGTTCTCTTGGGAAGAGGCACTAGTGCTGGCCACTGGGAATCGTCATCTGGAAGATGACCTCAGCTGGAAAGGGAAGCTCTCCTGGCACAGGCAGCTGCTACTGAAAGGCTCTGGCAACCTCTGCAGGTAGTATCAGTAAGACAGTATCGCTTAGGTGGGTGGCGTGCATGGATCACCAATAAAGTTAAAGGGCTATACAGAGTAGGCATAATGTTTCCCATCCATAATTCTTATAACAGCCCTATCTGGCCAGTCCGTAGCCAAATGCATCATGAGGAATGACAGTGGACTAAGAAGAGCTTAATAAAATAGTTCCTTCACCCATGCTGCAGTGCCTAACATCGCCCAGTTATTGAATGAAGTAAGTCAATCCCTAGGGATGTATTATTTTGCATTAGCACGTGCTAATGCCTTCTCTGGTATTCCTATAGACCCCAAAAATCAAGATCAGTTCACCTTCAGCTGGAATGTAAAACACTGGATATTTCAGGTGTTACCACAAGGCTACCTGCATAGCTCCAACATCTGTCATGGCTTAGTAACAAAATAAATATAAATATCTGTATGGAAAGGCAGAGAGGAGGTGGGATTACACCATCACATTGATGATATTCTGCTAACTGGTAATGATCTTGCTATTTTATATAAGGTATCGGAGAGTCTCCTGGAGCATCTAGAAGGATGGCACAGACCATGGATCTCAACAAGGTGCAAGGGCTTGAGTCTTCTGTCAAATTCTTGGGCATGTCTGGTCAAGTAAGACAAAAATTATTCAAGTTGCTGTGCTGGGTAAGATTGAAGGTTATCCCACTCTAGAAAGAGTAAAACAATTACAAACATTCTTGGAATTACATGGATATTGAAGGTCGTTTATTCCCCAACTAGAGGAGGTGTTTTATCCCTTGTACAGATTAGTTAAGAAAAGAACAAATTAGGATTGGAGACAAGAGCACATTGATTTAAAACAAACATATATGAGGGGTGGTGAATGCAACCAATGCTTGTAATTTAAATGTTTAAGTCTATCCAGAGTGCTTTGGGTGGGGTTGATGGCAAAAGCAAGGAAGGTGCCTCTAAGTGTTAGGTCCTGATTATAAAAAGAACTGAACAAAGGTAGAGTCCCATGCAAAAACAACTCTTGGCAGCGTACTTTAGTCTATGGCATGTAAGGACTATCATGAAAGCCCTGCCAGGGAAGGGAAAGATGCAATACCCCATTGCTAGATGATTCCAAGAATTTGCCAAGCCCCAGTTGGGACTGGCCCCGTCTGCTACCCCACACAAGTCAGATGCATATTTATGGCAACAATGTACCCTTAGGACCAGTCCACTTAGTGCTGAGCTACATGTCATTTGAGGCCCAGTCACATATGTTAGTGAAATGCATGAGAACACTGACATGGGCCTATGAACATACCTGCTGTTAGAGTGCATGTTAAAGAAGGTGAAGTACCAATCCCCATGACTACATGGTACAGCAATCCACTAGGAGCAATCCACCCCATTGGACCACGGTAATAACACAGCCGAATACAATTACTATATTGAGGCAGGAGATAGTCAGGGGGAAGCTCCAGAGGTTCCCCAGGTCTAAGATAAAGAACATCCATACAAGACAAAGACCCTCTAAGACTAGTTGTTCCTGCTTTCTGGAAAAGCTCTGAATCAGGGTGACTCAAGAATGTACCTGTGCAGAAGATCCTATACGACCTCTGCTTCATTATAATATCATTATAATACATTAAAATTGTGGGACCTCCTTCTCTGGTAGTCAATCAAGAAAAATTGTGGGAGACCACATTCGCAGTAGCTTTGAAATGCAACTACTTGTACATGCACAATAGAAGCCTGCCAAAAACTAGCCAGGAAGCTTCCGCCCTATAAGAGTAGAATCCCTCCAGACCACGAGATCAATCTCTGCTCAGAGTTGGCTTCCTCCCATGTTCTGTGGAGTGTACTACCACTTAATAAACCTTCTCTTTTTCTTTATGCTATAAACTCTGTGTGTTCAGTTCAATTCTTTGTCCTCGATCACTAAGAACCTGGTTTCCTGTGCCCATCTGTGACAATATGACTGGACGAAGGACGCCAACAAAGCAGTTAATGGGCAGAGCTGCTATCTCCTTGGATGGTACTGATGCACAAACAAAGCTTGTCACTTTGGTAGCTGGCAGTTGAGCTATCTATAAAGGCCTCACTTTGTGGATGGGACAGTGGAGAAATAACATCTAAGAAGTTCAACGCCACCCGCTTTGGAAAACTAAAATGTAGAATGAGATCCTGGAAAAGTCAGAAGTCTTGAAGGTCACAGTATACTGATGTGGACCCCAGCTTGTGGGGTCCTCGACACTGTGGATGGGGGAGAGACATTCACGTGGACTACTGGACTACTGAGTCCGGGGGAGGAAAAGGGACAGCATGGGTTTCTCTCAAGGGGAGCAAAAAGCACTGGCCTCCACCACAACAGGCCTTTTTTGAGTTTCTCAGCACATTACCTTCCAGTCTTCATTTACTATGCACGAGTTGCTTTAGGTGATTACCTTTTACAGAAAACAAAGGAGCCAATGCCACTAATCACATCACAGAAGAGGGGTATTTGCAAATGAAAAGGGCAAAAGTGATTGAACCGGTTACCCTCATCCTTGGAAGTTTCAGCATGGATTTTAGGAAGTTATTTTGCAGTAAATGTTTGCCACAAATCCGGGTGAGGGAGTTTTTAGGAAAAGCAAAACTCAAAAGTGGCCTAGGCATATTGCAGGTCTGATTCCCCACGGGAGAACCTATCCATGGGCGTGGGTCCTGTGCATCTCCCAGTGCACACTGGGAGAATGGTCTCCTACAGTATAACACGTACTGGTCTACAGTGTTAGATCCCCTCACAGGACTCAGAAGGCATATCAGTTGTCCCAAGTTTGACACATAGAGAAAATTAATGACCCTCAAGAGCTGGCCCATTGGCTACATAAAAAGACTGTGCACGAGGAGTATGTACCCTTTGGGAAATCATTAAACTGAGGGGCATGAACCTTACACATATTACATAGCTATGCTGAGTGTACTTCTTCTCTCGAACACAAAAATGTTACCTTGGCATTTAGAACAAATAGCAAGGGCAAAAGCACTGGTCATAAGATGGCAGGTGGATTACGCGGAGCCCTTGCCACTGACTCAGAATGTCAAGTATGCTTTGACGTGCATCGGCCCTGCCACTGGCCTATGGCAAGCATACCCTAGCAAGAAAGCAACCCAGAAAGCTGCCATGCAGGGACTTAGACAACAGTGATGTTGCTCATGAATCCCCATGGAAGTTATATGCTTCCTGCCGTCCAAGGAGGAGCCTGCGCCCTCATACATACTGACTATTGTATGTGTATTCTTGACAATCATTATAATATATCCCTTACTCTGATCCAAATCACTAATGAAATCTCAAGTATTTAGCCATAAGAAAGTCATCCTCTGCCACTTGGTTTCAGTGTTTATCACTACCTTGAAAAGGAGTTCTGTTGGATTTTATTTTGTCTCTCTGTTCATTAAACTAGGCATCTGTGGAGTATATTATTGCTGTGCCCTCAGACTCCAAACCATTATGGTAGAAAGGGTCCAAAAAATTGCAAAATATTATTGCACAAAATAGAAGGACCCCACTTGTGGGGTAGAGAGTAGGGAAACTCACTTTTGGGATGCAATAGGGCTCCAGCAGCAAAGGCATGTGGGAGATATTGAACTCTCTGTGACTGTTGAACTCTTTGGGACTGTTTAATTCTCTGCAACCTCACACTTGGCTAACTATCCCAAAAAACAAAATATTGCTCAAAAATATCATGACTTTAGGAAGAAGTTAATAAATATGTAAAAT